TGATCCCGCGGTCGGTCCCGGCGTCCGCGTCGAGCTCGAAGGACGCCGCGCGCGAGTGCACGGTGCTGCCCCGCCGGTCGCCCGGCCTATCCGCGAGCAGGCCGTCCATCATCTTCTTTGTAGGGGTGATCCCTGGCGGCGCACACTGTGTTGGGTTCTGGTGAGGGGGAAGCGGGGCGTAAACACGCACCAAGACTTGCAAAGATATGCTTGAGGTCCTGCTCGCTCACGACACCGTCGCTGTCGTGGTCGATCAATGAGAAAGCCTCCCTGAACTGCTGCACCTGTGAAGGCGAAAAGAGGGAGAACACGCCAGATGGCTCGCGTCGTTGACGTGACCTCTGGGATTTGCTGGGCTTCTGGGGCGTCGATTGAGGTGTGATGTCTGGTGAAAGAAAGCGCGACATCGCGACAAAACGGAAGGAGGCGAGGTGGATTTGAAAGAGAGTGTTATCGGTGGTGGGCCAGTCGCGACCGGCAGGTCCCGGATCAAGCGCGCCTCCGTGATTGGTACAATATCCGTGCTGGACCACATAAGTACTCCACTTGCCAGGAAGAACTTCCGAAGGTGGGTTAGGACTTTGGAAGCCATGCAACTATCTTCCAACACGTAGTACTTTCACCAATCATAGTAGAGCGCGGACTCGGCTTAGGAGCCAGCTCGAGTCGCGTCCGCATGAGTCCGCCCAGCGAGCTCGTCATTAGAGATTGAGAGAAATCCTTGGCTAAGCAAGACATAATCCATGATTTATGGCTTGTGAGACTTGTACAAATGCATGCCGGCGCTGTCTGCGATGTTTGATTTCACTGCACCAGGCACGAGTTATATAACGCTAATATCAGACGGGTTGCATTCTACGTGCGTAATCTAGTGCAGGGCTGCCGTGCTTGTAGTATAGGACCCGATCCATGATTCAGGACTACCGCGTGTCAACTTGTGAATTTGGGGTTCTCATAGAAGGCAAGTGCCAAGGAAGACGTACATTTCGCCAGCAACTGAACCTAAGTCTACGATAATGCCGGACCTGCGTGTAGCCATTTGGGGAAAGATGACCTTGCAGATACGGAGGACTGCAAGCGGTACGACATCCAAGACGACATCGATAGCCGTGCCTATAAATTACCCGCACGTAAGACCAGACGCAAACAAGTTTGACACGAGGGCCAAAGAGGATATATACCTGAACAATTGATTCCTGCGTTGTTGACAACCATGCCGGTGCGACCTCCTAGTTATCCATGACCCTCTTGACTACACTTTGAACGTTCGAGTTTTCTCATCGCCCATAAGCCTCTCTATCCCGGCCTGGCTGGAGCCTTCCACAGTCTCGAGTCCGCGAGCGGCGACATACATGTTGCAGCCACGGCGCGCGCACTCTTCGCAACTATCTCCGTGGTGAACTTATTTTCTCACAAGTGCATCATACAGTTCCACTCACAGCAAGCCCGATGCCACCTTTGGAACGACCGGTGACAGTTACAGCCTTGTCTGAATGATTGGCATGACAACGAAAGAAGAAGATGGGTTCGATGACCTCTGGGTGAAGCCAGCGTTGTGTACAAATACTCGCTTTGGAGCAGTCGTTGAGCAGACCCCGACACCGAACGCAATGGCCGGAGCGGGGAACTGTCGGAGGCGCGATCGACGCGGATCATAGGACGGCGGAGTGCGGCGCCGGCCGGGAGGATTTCCTGAATGGGTTGTTGAACAAGCACACTCCCACTCCGGACCGTCGAGCAGCTCCGTC